GAAGACTTTTTAAAAAATGGGGAACTTTTTAATGTGATTATTCGAAAATTGGTTGCACAGAGATCTCAGGAAAGAAGTTTATCCCCAAAGAGAAATGTAATAATATCTTAAAACTGAATAGCATCAAATGAGTGTGTTCTGCCAATTAGAATTTCCTCTTCTTCTTCTTCTTCTTCTTCTTTTTTTTTTTTTGCGAAGAACAATAAAAATAACAACAATCAAGAATTATGATGATGGGGACACAAAGGATTACAGGAAATGGAGGGGTTGTTTGCTGTTCTGTTCTGTTTAGTTTTGCTGTCCATAATAGATCACGTAACCAAACCAGATCATTCAGTGTACGTTCTCTGATTGGCTGGAATCATGCAGCGAAAAGCTCTTTTCAAGATGGTTGCCGTCAGTTTCTTGAATTCCAGGGATCATGTTAATACCTCACATTCTTGGGCCACCCATTCAGTCCCAGCACTTTGGCCAGCCTGTCATATAGGCTGTCTTTTGGAGATCTTTCAATATTCTTTTTTCTTAAACCAAGGCTCTGAGTTTGTTCTACTTATTTTAATTACCTAGAGTACCTACAGCATAACATAATTCTAGGGCTCAATGCGGAATCAAAATGGTAGTTTGTCTTCAGCTGAGAAATGGGCAAGTCACCAAATATCATTCTGCCTTAGTGCTCAAACTTGGAATGTATATACATTACAAATCATCTTCGTCATCATCGTTATCATCATCACCATCCCAATTTCTATATCAAGAATACAGCTTGTGAACATCATTATTTCAGTTGTAAGCATCTTTGCAAGTAAAATGTTGGCCTGAAACTGAGCTTTAGTTAAATAACTACCAATCTTGCAATTAGGCTATTCCTTGAATTTCCCAGTTTAAAAAGTTTGGTTAATTTGGGTGAGCTGATCATGCATTTCTTCTACATAAAGCTAAATTAGGAAGTTGCCAAGACCGCAAGGGACCCTCTCCAAGGATGAGATCCAGAAGGATTCATCGAAAATCAACCTTGGATATTCCCACTGCTGAAGGTAAGCTAATTGTTATGAAAAAAAGAACCTCGGTTCATTAAACATTTTGTGATGCTTTCCATTGGGGATTTACAATAAAAGATTTGTACTCTAAAGTTGCTTACATTTTATTTTGTTAAGTAAGATTATTAGAGAGATCTTGTACTTTATCCATACTCAGCCCAATGTACTTACAGTTGCCTAAGTATTAATACTTCCAAAATCACTTTGCTGATTCTTGAGAATCCTCAAGGCAACTAATATAGAACAATAAGATGAAACTTCACCTGGACTTTTTATATTTTCAACACATAACATAGTTCTAGTCATATCTCCCCAAAGGCCCAGTTTTCCATGCTGTGTTCAGATAATAGAAGCACCCAGTCTGTTGCTATCCAGGTAAACACTTACCCAAGTAATCCAGAAGCAGAGATCCCCGGTCAAATGAGAAGTAACCATCTTTGATGGCTTCCCAAACACTATAAACTTACCCTGTTTGCGGCCATATTTGTTTATTTGTTTGTTTGTTTCAATTTATATAGTCTCCCTTATGTGACTCTGGGCAGTTCACAAGTTATATCCATGCTTGATTTCTCATTGTCTCTTTCCACGGCAGGCTTAAGAAATTCTTCACCCCATGGCAGTAGAGCGAGGACTCCTAATGCTTCTCCAAAACAAAGCAAGAAAATCTGATTTGTGGGTGAATCTCAATTCATAACCACTGCTACATTTTTGGAAATATTTCTGTTTGTTGTAAAATGTTGATTAGAGCTACTCTTCTATGATTTCATGCCAAGAGTAAAACCCCCAGCATGCCCTATTAAACTTACCAACACATTGAAACTTAACTTCAAACCATATGTAATAAACTTCACTCCAGGCAAGAGTGCATCAAGCAGTAACCCTAATCTCTCAGGGTGTGTGTGTGTGTATGCACATGTATGCTGTAGATGTGCCAAGGAGATTATTTTACTATAGAGATGCTGGCAGCATTTAAACACCTCTCTCCCTCCCTTCCTCCCTCCCTCCTCTCTCTCTCTCTCTCTCTCTCTCTCTCTCAATACTGTGGTTTCATATTTCCATTTTTTCTTCCAAAGCTTCTAAAGAATTGAATGAACATTTTAATCCATCATAAAAGTAACCCTTTAGCAATATCTATTATACAAGGATCTATATGGCTGTCATCAGTTCAACAAAAGGAGGTACCTGCTGAATTCTCTTGCATGATCAAGAGAATATAGACAAATATGTGAGCCAGGAAATACCCTATAAACAGAGTTTAATTGACCCCAACATCAACTAATTCTTTGATGCTAGGCTCAGCATTATTATCTGTTTTATATATCATCAGTTCGGTGGCTTTGGGTTTGGATTGGTTTTCTTTTTTGCGTTTCACTTTTGTATTTCAGCATTGTTTCAATTTTCATTCAATAATAGTTGTTTATATGTCTTCTGAGTGCAAATAATAAAATATAATAAATAAAAAATGGCATGTGAGCATCTGTAATGCTTCATATATACTGCTGAGAATTTGAATGGGTCCACACTGCAGCTGTAATGGCATGTGAGAGTAACCTTGAGGAAGAGAAGGAAAAGCCACAGCTAAGGCAATAGTCAGATAAGAGAAATCAAGTCCAAAGCAGGAATGGAATTTGAGAAGGGGTCTCAGACCTGACCCTCCCTAGTTCTCTTTGGGATAGAGGTGGGGGGGGTGCATTCAGAATTGCATGATTCTGTTACTTTAACCCTATAATAAAAGTAGTTTTAGTATTCATAACTTTGGTGTTCAGGTCTGGTCAACCTCAAAGGACTGACATCACCCTAGATCACTAGCTTTGTTTTGCAAAGCCCAGTGGCTGAGTTCAAACATTAAGCCAGAATCAAACTAAAGCAGTTACACTGTGATTTTGCACCATTATCTGAACCCAGTCATTGTGGGATATATTATTGCCAACATTTCTAGATGATGACTGACAAGCTTCTTATTAGAGTGTACAGGTCAGGGGAGAGCAAATTTGCAGAAGGATCCAAGGCTAGCTTTGTGCTCAGTGTACAATGAAAAACACATTTGGTCTGAGATGTTGGCATATTGCTGGCCATTAAACTAATCCAATATTTCTCAACCATGGTACCTTTAAGATGTGTGGACTTCACCTTCCAGAATTCCCCAATAAGCATACTGGCTGGGGAATTCTGGGAGTTGAAGTCCACACATCTTAAAGGTAGCAAGATTGAGAAACCATGGACTAGTCAATACTAGTCAAGATGGAAGAACAACATCCTATGTGCATAGACATTCAGTATCGGGAAAGAAAATCCATATTTTGGATCTGCTCCCACACCATGACTTCCTGAAGCCTGCAGCCACAGGATGTAAAGGTTGACCTCTTTTCAGTTCTACATGGAGGCCAGAAGTTGGCCTGGAAACTGGGCTTATTATCATCCATCAAGCAGCTTCCTGCTGGGCAGCTACAGCAAGCACTACAGTAGCTTTTGAACGGGGTTATGTCAGTGTGTCATTCTTGTTTTTCTAAGTTCAGTGCAATTGGCCACACGTGGAGTCACTGGATTAAATAGGTTGTTCCCAGTGTAGGGCAGGGGAAGAGATCTGGGACCATTCTATGGCAATGGGGGAAGAGCTTCCCCCTTTTGTGACCTGTTTGTTGCAAAAGGAACATTCTGGGGTTAGTCTGGAGCATGCATCTAAAGTTGTGGGGCTTTGCAGGGAGTCCTGATGGGAAGGACTTCCCTCAACACCAGACACTTCATTTAAGACCAGAAATGGCCCACAGATTACACTATGTTTAGTCATGTTTTGTTAGATGTAAGCATCTGGCTACCAAAGGCTTGATTCTCTGTAGGGATTGCTCTGTAAATTATTTAGGAAGAGCAGAGTTTGTGCTTGTAGTTTGCACTTCTTCCCTTGAGGTGGTACCTCACTGGTCGAGAACCTGTGACCCTCCGGATGGAGATAAACTACAATTAACAGCATGCTTCAGTTGTGGCCATGTTCCAGCCATCCCCTATCTGCAATTTGCTTTTCGTGTAAAGCAGAGAACTGTTTTGCAAAAAAAAAAAGGCTCAGCAGGTTCAGATCTGGCTAGTGCCTGGATGGAAAGGTACCAGAAGTCTCACAGCTGGAAGTTAGCCTGAGAAGGTGAAGAAAGCATTCCAGAAGAAGCCAATGCAAACCAGTTCCATATTGCTGTCAAAAATGCTGTACGGAGTCTTTCCATTTACTTCTTCAGTCTGGATACTCCTATTTAAAATATTCACCCTTAAACCTTTACCTGTAGCTGCTCATTCATTAGGTTTCTATCCAATGGCTCAACTCTGCAAAGGTAAATATATATTTCCTTGTTAACATTTTCATAGGGGAGTTTGGAATTGATTGGGGTCAATAACAAGAGAAATTTCAAATCTTTCTTCATGACATTAACGTGACAATACCTTGATTGGATTGATCGCAGAAAAAACAAATTCCTTACAGAGCCAGAAAATGTATTTTAAATGTATCCCCACAGACCTCTGTCCAGGTTTTCAGTGCTGCTTTGATTTCACTCCAGTGGAAAAAAGTGTCTGTGTTGTTCTGATCAGAACAGATTAAAAAAGCCCATGTAGCTGTGATGAAGGAGATAAGGCATACTTTTCCTATGTGAAATACTTTGCATTTGCAGACAAGTGTGTGTGAGAAACACCGCATACCATGTTTTTCATTCATTCCTTTCGAAGAATGTGTTTCTAATAGTTAGCATGTCTTGGGAACAGAAAGGATCAGATAATTTCACACTTAATTCTAAAAAACTTTTGGTTTAGCAACAATCGAAAGTATGTTAAGGTGTTTTCCAGAATCAACAATAGAGGGTACAACAGATATATTCGTGAACATGCTCACTAAAGCACTATTAAGCGTGAATGATTACAATAGCCTTATCTGAACTTGGGCTTAAGGTTATAGAAAGGAATTACTCTATTCACAAGTAATTCCTTTCTTGCTTATAGTTAGTTTTGTTTAAGTAGTGAGAGTGGCCTTTGGATCATACGCTTGAGAATTCAGAAGAATGGTTTCTAAAACTAGAAGTGGCATTGAGCTGGAGAGTCATCTTCATGTTCTTTATCGACTCATCACCTTCTTCAACAGCCATGCTTGCTTTCATCTCTCAAAATGACCATCTTTCGCAATCTGATGTCATCCTGATGTGTTGGATCAAATGCGCTGAACATGGGTTCTCATAATCATCTGGCTAACATGGCCCTGAGATTCCAGGCCAATTTTCCAAAAAAATGCTGCAGTCCAGCAAAATCAGCAAGGAGACTTTTCCCACTCATCTATTTCCGAGTGAAGATCTCCAATATGCTGGTTACACTGGAGTTACTCATAATGCTATTTAATGTTCTTTTCCAGCAAGGAGACCTGATGGAAAAGCACCAAAAGAAGTTGTGTAGCCCAGGCGGAGTGCATCAACAATGCATTTCCTTTCACTTCAGTTTACTGATGTTTAGATAATGAGCACATTATGTTACTTTGCCCAAGTAGAGCAAAGCCTTTCCATGCCACTACTTCTAAAGATAGTCATAATTATGCTGCATTACCACCCAGATATGCAACAATGCAAAAGATAAACTGGTGTACCTCAGCCATAGAGGACTTAACTCTCACATCCTTCACCATTGGTCATGCTGGTTGGGGCTGCTAGTTCAGAAACACCTTGAGGATCACATTTTGCCTACCTCTGCATAACTATAAAAACCCTAGAGAGAAAACAGAACTAGAACAATGTAAAGAAGAGAAGGTGTAGGTTGGAAAATCAAGTCGAACCCAAGCATTAAAATAAGCACAGCAGGTCAGACTGGTTTGGCCAGAACAACATAGTACAAATGGAAGGATGTAGAAAGAACAAAATGAGTACATAGTACAAACTGAGGATGCAGAATGCTTGGATATAGCCCACCTATCTTTTGGCATAGGCCATTTGATCAAAAGGATCATGCAGATATCAAGTCGATCACCTGCTGAAAAACATGGACAAGTCTCTTCCAAGAGGCTCCTGAGTTGATGTTGCTATTTTATACCTTTAGTAATAAATCATGGTGGATGCTCAGGGGACCTCAGCTGTAGTTTAAAACAACTACCAAAGAGTTCATTTTTTAAAAGAAACAATGCAACATAAAAAAACTTAGTTTAGCAATAAGGAAAGGAAAACACATAATTAGCAATTTATAGGCCTCTTTAATTCCTCTTGCACCATAAACCACAAAATTGCTTTGTCCCAACCAGGCTAACCTGTGCAGTTTGTTCTAGGAATGCCCTTCTGCTGCCTTGGGCATTTGACCATGTGATGGACAGGTGGAGAATAAAGAAACAAGTTAATTGTACAAATTAATTAAGATTGTTTTTTATTGCTGTATTTCTTCATTGTTGCTATACATATTAGGGTTGGATGAATCTATGACAACTGTGTTTTGAGTACTCTTATACACAGAACTGAAATTGCCATTGCTGTATATTCCATGATAACGTGGGCTTCACAAACTGAGCCAATCAACTTGCTATTTTCACATTTGGATCCCCACACGAGGTTAACTTGGGAGCATCAAACTGATCTCAAAAACTAAGCATGGTTAGATCATGTCAGCACTTGAGTGGGCCATCCCTAGGAAATGCAGGATTGTAGACTAGATCCTGAAGGAGGCAACAGCAAACCACATTGAGACCACTGCCAAGAGAAATACAAGTAGTCCTCACTTAACAACCATTTGTTTAGCAACCATTTGAAGTTGCAATGGTGCTGAACAAAGAGACTTACAACCAGTCCTTGCACTTACAATTGTCACAGCACCCCTGCAGTCACATGATTGTGATCCAGGCGCTTGGCAACCAGCTTACACTGACAATGGTTGCAGTGTCCTGGAGACAGGTGATCGCCATTTGCGACCTTCCCAACCAGCTTCCAGCAAGCAAAATCAGTGGGTAACCATATGATTTGCTTAATATCCAGAGTGATTTGCTTAATGACTGCTGCAAAAAAGGTCATAAAATTGGACACGACTTGCTGAACAACTGCCTTAATGAATTTTCTGGTCCCTATTGTGGTCATTAAGCAAGGATTACCTGTACACGGACATCTCCAAGAAGTCATGCTTGTCTTGATGAACACTTGACTTGGCAGTGCTAATTGAACATGATCCTAATAACCACATTTATTAGGAGGAGAAATTCCATATTTTCTTACAACAGCTGGTTGGCTGATGGCAAAATTCATACCAAGATGTATTTACCATTCAGTAATTAAAACCGGTGTTTTTGACCATAGGTAGTTGGCTAGGATTACAGTCTTGGCAGGGAGAGCAGTTCTCTGCAGCTGCACAGGAAATCTGACTTTCTCTTGGTGAGTCATTTGAACAAAGATTTTAGCACTTCTTTTTATGACAGTGCTAAATGTAGAA